AAATCGAAAAAAACTATCGAAAATACGGCGAATATTTTACGAAAAAAAATCGATAATAAATAATTTTCGATTAAACTTCGTAAAAAAAAAGAAATTACGATTTTCGGAAAACCGTTCGAAATATTAACGGTATAAAAAATTAAAAATTTAATTAATTAAAATATTTTTTCGTTTATAAAATATAATAAAATAAAATATAAAAAAAATCGATTATTTAAATTTAAAATTATTAAAAAAAATTAAAAAAAAATAATAAATAAACCATATAAAAAATTAAAACTTATTATTTAAAAATATATTAATAAAAATAAAAAAATTATTTTAATTTAATTTCCGATAATTTAACGTATAAATTAACGAATTATCGTAATATTAACTTTATTTTTAATATGAAAAAACATGCGCGTATAATTATAAAATATAACTTAAATATATATATAATTCGAAACGTTTTTAAATCGAACGATTTTAATTAAATTACCATTAAAATTAATTCTTAAATATTTAAAAAATACGATTATAATTATAATTAAATTAATTTATAAAGTTTTCGAAATTAACATATATTAATAAATTATATATTTTAAATATTACCGGAAAAAACTTTATATAATTATGTTTACGTATAATTTATATTTATTAATAATAAATATTAACGAATAATTTAAATTTATTAATATATAAACGAATAATATACTCGATATATTTAATGAAAAATTTAATTAATTAAAAAATATTAAATTAAAAAAAATAAAATTTTTAGTAAAATTAAAAAATTACTTAAAAAAAATAAGCTTATAATTTTTAACGGTTATATTTTATTAATCGAAAAAAATAATAAATTATATTTATAATAAAAAAAAATTAATTTAATAAAATTAAACATTAAAAATGTAATTTAATAATACGTATAATAAAAAACACGAAATATATATATAATATTAATTTATTAATTAAAAATAACGTATAATATATTGAAAATAATATAACATCGTAAACCCGATAAAATAATAATTAATAAATTAAATAAAAAACTTAAATAATAATAAAAAAACATGTAATAAAGTTTTTAATTTATCGAATTAAATTTAAAAACATTTAAAATTTACGTATTTATTAACGAATTATTCGTAAATAATAAAAACTTAAATTTTTAAATTAATTACGAAATTTTCATCGTAAATAAAATTATAAACGATAAAACGTTTAAAATATAAAATAATTTAATTTATTAAAGTTTAATTAAATATAAATAAATTATAAAAAATATTTTAATAAACGAAATTTACGTAATAATTTATAAAATAAATATAAAAATAATTATCGAAACGACGATTATAATTATTTTCGAAAAACTTAATTTTTTAAAAACATTAATTATCGTATATATAAATTCGTTTTTACTTTATAAATACTTCGTTAAACTTAATATAATTAAAAAAAATTAATAATTAATATTATATTATTATAATAATTATATAAACGTTGTAAAATTTATAACATTAAATAAATACACGAAAAAAATAATTTAATAAATATAATAATAAAATTAAACGTTAATAAAACTTTTCGAAAATTTATTAATATAAATTATTTAATTATATAATTATAAAATTAAATTAAATAAAATTAATTAAAAAAATATAATTTAAAGTTTATAAAAAATACCGTAAATATTAAAATACCCGAAAAATTATAATTTAAATTATATAAATAATTTATACTTAAAACTTAAATAAATAATAGTAAATTAAATAATTTTAAATTAAATAATAATATATTAAAAAATTAATGTTAAATAATATTAAATTAAAAATAAAAAAAAAGAAAATTAATTAAAAATAATAATAATTAAAAACTTAAATTAAAATATATATTTTAATATATCGTTTAATAATTTTTTTAATAATTTTTATAAAACGTTTAATTATTTTACGAAAAAAATAAAACTTAATTTAAGTTATTTTTAACGTAATATAATAAAATTTAACGATAATTACGAAACGTTTATTTTTATTTTTTATTAATTTATAACGGTTATAAATAACACGTTTTTTATTTATTATTTTTTCGTTTTTTATTTATTAAAAACATTTTTTTAATTAATATTATATTTTTTTAATTTATTTTTATAATGTAAAAATTAAAATAAATTATTTATAACAATTTATAAAGTTATTTATTACGAGAAAAAAACTTTTAAAACTTTTTATATAAGTTTATTTATATAAGTTCGAACTTTTTATATATGTTATATTTTATTCGTAATAAATCGGTAAAACATTTTTATTTTTAAATTTTACTTTTTAATTTTAATGCGTTAATTTTTATTTATAATAATTATAAGCTTTTTATTATTTAAATTTTTAAATAAAATTATTATTATTTTTTTATTAGTTATATATATATTTTTTTTAAAAAAAATATTATTTTTTTTTTCGAAGTTTTTAAAAAGTGTTTTTTTTTTAAATAATTAATTATTTTAACTTAAAGAATATTACGAAATTAATTTCGCGATATTTTTTATATTAATAAACATATTACGAAAAAGTAAAATTATTTAAAAAGTTTTATAAAAATTTACTTAATTATTTTTAAAAAGAATATTAATTAAAATTTAAATATTAATTTAAATTAAAAAGCCTTGTTTTAATTTCTTTTTTATTAATTATTTTTTAACGTTTTTATTTATTTTACCGATAATATTTTATTTATAATTAAGTTTTTTTACATTAAAACGTAAATTATATTTATTTAATAAAAATTTAAAAATAATTTTTTAAATAAACGTTATAAAAACGTTATTAAATTTAAATTATTTAAAACGTATAAATTATAAAATATAATTTAATAAAAAAATAATTTATATTTATATATTAAAAATATATATATATTAATAAAATAATTAATTTAATATAATATAAATAAGTTATTTATTTTTTATAAAATTAAATACTTTTTAAAATAATCGTTAAAAAGATTTTATAATATTACGTAAATTTTAAAGATTTAATTTTAAAATTTAATTATATAAACATTATATAAATTATTATATAAATTTACGTAAATTTACGATTATATTTTAATTTTAATTTTTTTAATAACTTTTTAATTAATTAATTAATTAATTAATTAAGTTAAAATTAAAACTTATAACTTTAAAAATTATAATAAACTTTAAGTTTTAAAAATTATAAAAAAACTTTAAATTTTAAAAGGTATAAAAAATCTTAAAAACGTTAAAATAATTTTAATAAATAAATTTTAAAAATAATTCCGTATAAAATAAACTATTTAATTTAATCGTTAAATATAAAAATATACTTTTAAAAAACTACGTATTTTATTTATATAAAATATTTTCGTAAAAAGTTAATTATATAATTAAAAATAATAAAAATATTTAAAAAAAATCGTATATATAATCGGCGTTTAAATTAAAAGTATATTACGAGAAAAAAACTTTCGAAGCTTTTTACGTAAATTTATTTATATAAATTTAAACTTTTTATATATACCGTATTTTACCCGTAATAAATTAATAAAACACTTTTACTTTTAAACTTTATTTTTTAATTTTAATACGTTAATTTTTACTTATAACATTATTTATTAAATAAATATTTATATAATTTTCGAAAATATTAATAATAATAATTATAATAAATTTATATTATAATAATATTATAAAATAATTTTTTCGATTAATATAATAACGTTCGTATTTAATTAAAATAATCGATGTTTTACGATAAATAAAAATAAATTATAATGCCCGTTATAACATTATATTATAATAATATTATTAATATAAAACTTTACGTTAAAAAAGTTTTATTATTATACATTTAAAAAGTATTTTTAATAAATAAATAATTAATTTTTATAAAAAATTTCTTTTATATTATTATTTAAAAAAATGAATGTTTTCCGTAAGTTAAAAATTTAAAAAATAAATAATAAAAAAAAAAGAAATAAACGCGTTATATTATAATTTAAAACGATTTAAAAAAGGTATAAAATTTAAATATATATATAATCGCGCGAAAAAAAAAAATTACTAATGTCGGGATAATTAACACGTAATTAATAATGTTAAAATTATTAGTTATATAACTTATTAAAATTACATTTTTCGTGTATATAATTTCGAATTTCCGTTTTTATTTTAAAAATATAAAACGTAATTTTAATATAATTTTTTTATTAATCGTTTTATTTTAAATTAACCACGGTTTATATTAATTTTTAACTTTATTAATAACTTTTCGTAACCGTTTTAAATATATTATTAATTAAAATTTAAGTTTATAATATTTATTTTTTTTATAAAATTATAATAATTTTATATTAAAAAAAATATTACGTTATATAATTAATAAATTAAATATTCGTTTTACGTTTTAATTACCCGCGAATTATTTTCTTTATATAAAACCGTTAATTTTATATATTAATAATTAATTTAAAAAAATATATATAAACATTTTATAAAATAATATATATTTTATTAAAATAATTTATATTATAATAATATTTTCGAATTAATAATAATTTTATAAATATAATAAAACGTTAAATTTTTAATATTTAAATATTTATATATAAAATATTAATAAAATTATTATAATTTATAACTTAATAAAAATAAAAATTATTATTTTTATAATATATATAATTTATTTAAAATGTTTTAAAATAAGTTTTAATTTAAAAGTTTAAAACGAAATATTATTTCGAATTATTTACGTAAAAAATAAATTTTTAATAATGTTTTTCGTAAATTTTCTTATATAAATTTATAACCACGTAAAATAAAAAAATTAAAAAAATACATTATATTATAAAAAAAAATATTAAAAAATACTTAAAACTATTAACATTATAATAAAATTAAAATGAAATTTAAAATCGTATTATAAAAAAAGTTATTTATTTTAATAAATTTATTAATAATTTTTATTAAAATATATTAATATAAAACTATTATTTTTTTTTTACCCTTTTAAACAACTTTAAAACGTTTAATAAATTTATTATAAGTTATTTTAATAGTATGAAACTAGTAATGAAAGACTGTATATTTTTATCTATTTTATTTAATTAGTTATGAATATATAAAACTGGTGGTTTTGTATGGGAAAAGGGTGGTTCGCGGGTGGTTGGGTCATGAAAGGGTGACTCGACTTACCCTCCAAACTACCTTGTTTCTTCAAGCAAGCAAATGTTGGCTTGTAATAGTTCAAAGGTAGAATTTGCGCTTCAAGAACTCGTGTTTTGCATCTGAGGTATTCTTCAAGAGTTATTATTTGATGGGAACATAGAGATAACCCTATGAAACAACTGATACTATTGCACATCCTTAACATCCTTAACAATGGTTATTAAGGCATACATACAAATAAGTAGGCATTATTTTAGGTAAATCGCAAAGGAACGTAGTATATTTAAAGAGTATCACCCCCGAAGCAGAATGAAAAACCTAAGATCGGACCGTTGCTTAAGATCACATAGCAGGATTCGAACCTACTTGCTTCGCGTAGTCGCACACCAATGCGCTGTCAGGTGTCTGAACCATATGGGACTTTGTTTACAGTCTTCTGGTCCCGTGAGATAAAAAATACTTACAATTTACTGACGGGTTCTCTTGACTGGAATCCAATAATATTCATCGGCCTGTGGCGGTCTGAGATTGATCGAAGTAGAAAATGTTAGATAAAACCGTGTGCCATAAGTGTCGGACGTGTGATCTTCCAAGATACCCATGTGTAATGGGAAGAACCGGGAGTCCTTGTCCTGTACGGGAGGGCGACACACAACACCAATGGCAGCACTGCTAGTGCCCATAGTCGCGAACTCAGTTGGGATGTCCTTATATTTCCGCAGCCAGGAATTGACAAGGAGAGATCCAACAAGAATGACCCCTAGAAAAAGCGAGAGGATTATTCCAAGAGTGGAGAACCCAACCACAGACTGATCATACGTAGGTAGACGAACAGCTCGAGGCCCATTGGTAAATGTCATTGTCCGTACCAAGAAGACGCTCTGGGAGATAACCCAATGAAAAAGCATGAATACTCCCATCAAGGGAATCGAATAGCTCAATGGCAATGACAAAATGTATGATGAGCGTTGCATGCCGACGGGCGTCGAAACGCGCAAGGGTTTCTTGCCGTCCTTTCTTAGAAATCGTACCCACTCATCTCCCACCAGCTGATGTGTTAGGATGTTGTTATAGAATAGATATACAAAGCTGAGCAGAAGCTGGAAGGAGTTGGCGAAGACAACCTTGCTGATCAAGTCGTTTGACGCCGTGGTAGACTTAAAAAGGTTTGAAGTGACTAACTGTGGCTCTTTCACTTGGAAGCCGTATTCCCAAATTTTAGCTGGGCTCATATAAATCCCCTTTTTCTTTATTAGGGTCATTAGGCCTGTCCCAAGTAAAGTTGAAGGGACGGCCAATGCGACGATGAAGCTGGGGGTACATGTTAGTTGATTAGTTATACATGAAGATTCCCGATGAGACATAGGGTGAAGCCTACACTGTCATTGATACCATCCAAGTTGATTTGCTGGTAGCATGGAACCATGATGTATTAGTCTTTGAGCGCCATAGCGCCTCGCGAATATCTGTGTCGCCAATACCGTAGAACCTTCTAGGCATGATGTCGGAATGTTCTCTTAGAAAGTCTCCAATAGCGTCACCCATGGTGACCATCGTTTCAGCACCGTAGCTATCCCTAGTCCTAGATAGTCCACGAATTATTAGCTGTCTGTGATGTAAAATCCAGACAGAGAATATTAGAAGGCTTTCAAATAGCGTGAGAGCAGATACAATGCCAACCAGGGTTACATTGTAATGTAGACCGCAACGTGAAGTATTGTCACCAGATTCGCCAACCAAACAGTAATCAACTCCGACATAGGGCAAGTCAATGTTGGGGGAGCCGTATACCCATTGATCGACAAATGTTTCCGCCCATTGCAAATCACACCATCGAGTCTGTTGGTAAGCGGCACATATCCAAAAATTCGATTTCCCCCATTCCGCATATTTATACTCCCATCCAGAAATGAATCCGGTGATAAGAGAAGAGCCGTTATTTTCGCTTGACGTCATATTGGAGGCGACCAATACAAGAGCAGCAGTCGATTGGAGTGGGTCAATATAGGCCTTCATGCATTCTTCTTTCTCTAGTCTCTTGAAACGTTTACCTAGCTCTTGTAATGAAAAGACTAGGGACGCATTCTGAAGCTCACTATGAAGAGCAACCGCAGGAGGAGGATCCCAATGATGAGCGAATGGGTGTGCTTGCCACCAATCATCAGTCGCTACAAAATAGTCGCTTGTGGCGAATGCCCAGGGATACGAAGCAATGGGGATTGACGAAAAAAAGGCCGAGTTCCATCTAGAGAAACAAGAGGACTTGATTAACTTTTTGTCTACCTAGCAGACACACAATGTACCCTTACATAACTCGCTCAAGACTTAGTATAAGAATGGAACTTACACGAGGTGTAGAAAAGTTGCAGATGTCCCCAATAAGAACCAAATAACTTTTCTTTTGAGGTTGATATATCTTAGATTCTTGATACTTGGTACGCCGATCGCTAAGGAAGTTCCTGCTGAGTGTGCTGCATCAATCTCACGCCGTGATGGCGCTACCAGGATTTGCATGCAATAGTTTCCGGCGCCTAATAGAAGAGATGATAAAATATTGAGGCCCACATGAAGAGCACCGTTGATGGTCTCAATTGTTGAGCAAGTTCCAGTTGTGAAGGTGCCGACACCACTGACGTCGGGCGGAGAGCTCTTAATGGCCCATATGAGGAAAATAATAACGACAATAGCAACAAAACTAGCGAGCCCCATTTGTATTTTTAGCATGTTAGCCCTTTTAGCCATTTTTACTCGCAGCGTTTGCGCTCGTTCATCATCTGGGTCCAGCTCGGGTATGAACTTCTTGAGGATCTCCCGGCTGGCGAATTCATTGCTTGAATCGCTCTGGCCCCGTAAGAAAGATTCTGCCTCTGGTACATTTTCGTGATACTCACCGATTCCGGTAGAGTTGTTTTCGGTAGAGTTGTCTTGGTTTATCAGGTCCTGGCTCTCTTCCTCTCTCGTTAAAATGGGGCCTATGATGCGATGCGGGCAGCTGTGCGGTCTCGAAGTCATTGTAGAAACTTGGATTCATGTAGAGATGCGCAAATCATAAAAAAACAAAAACAAACGAGGCTCTCACTTTCCTGACTACGGGCGGGTACATATATACCTAGGTAGGTACATATATGGTCGGGCACATCCTCAGAATAATTCAGCCCGGGAGGTTGCCCAGGTGGTGGCTGCTTATTTTATCGGTTCCTCCTTCTCATTTCTGACAGCTGATAGCATGACCGTCATATGTGACGAACCTATGTACGTACCTAGTACCTAACCTATAGCGCATGCAGCATGGCTTATGCTGTATTTCTTTCATTAGGGCAACAAGAAGTTATTTAGAGGCTGTGAACGACGAAATGTGGTTGAGCTTACGTAACTAGAAAACAATGTATTCCACAGGTATTGAAGCTGCGTTTTTCTGTTGATCTTTATACAAGGACGGCGGACCATAAGAACAAATCCGCCAAACCGCCAATTCAATGCCCGAGCTCCGAGGGTTATTATGTCGCAACGAAACGTAGGAAAAAATTAACACTTGTCGGAGTTTCCGAAGTTCCCAATCGAGTTAATTTACGAATCTTATTAATTTACGTAAAAGCATATATCATTTATTAAATATTTATACTTATAAAATAGTATAAATTTTTTTTAATCGAAATATATATTTTTTATATTTAATAAATTAAAACTTATTAAGTTATTAAATTATTAATATTAAAAATATTAAAATTACGTAAATTTTCGGTTTATATATAATTATATATTAAAATATTAATTATAAGTAAATTACGTAACGTGGGTGGCCCATGCGTAATTTTATAAATAAAATTATTATTTCGTTATTTTTATATATATTTTTAAATTTAAATTTTATAATATTAATTTTTATTATTATTTTATTTTATTATTTTAAAACGTAATTTTATTAATTTTAAATTTTTTAATATTAATTAAATTATAAATAATAAAAGAAAAAATTTTAATAATAACGATAAAAAAAATAAACTAATATAATTTTAATTAATTTTATTAAAATTATAATAATTTTAAATTTATACGATTTTAATAATTTTTATTAAAAATATATCGTTTTTAAAGTTATACGATTTTATTAATATTTATTAAAAATGTATCGTTTTTTAATTTAAATTAAAAATAATTAAATTTTTTCGATTAAAAAAAATAATAAATTATAAAATTATACGATTCGTAATATATAAATTAAAGTTTTTTATAATATAATAAAATAACGAAATTATACGATTTACGATATATAAATTATTTAAATTTCGTTATAATAAAATAATTACGATTTATTTTAATTATTTAATAACGAGAAAAAAAAAATTTAAAAATTATTTTTCGTATAAAAATATTATTATAAATAAAATATTTTAATTTAACGTAAATATTTTTTTATATAAATTTAATGAAAAAATATATTAATAAAATAATTTATTTTTTAAAATTATTTTTTTTTATTATAATGTTTTTAAAATAATTTTACTTTTATTAAATTATTTCGATAATTATTTTTTATTATTAAATTATTATAATAAATCGTTATTATTTAATTAAATAATATTATTAATATTAAAATCATTTTTTAAATTATAATGAAATTAATAAATAATAACGAATTATTTTTTAAATTATAATTAATTTAATTTATTTAATTTATTTAATTTATTTAATTTATTTAATTTATTTAATTTATTTAATTTATTTAATTTATTTAATTTATTTAATTTATTTA